CTCTTTTTAAAAGGCCCTTCTTATTGGAACATTGCTCAGTGATCAATACGGTCATATTAAAAGCTTAATATTTTCTCTTTCCAAAAAGTGCAATCCATTTATAAGAAGACTTGAAAGCTGGGGCTATTTCTGCTACATTTAAAAGCCTGGTATAGAGCACTGTGCTACCATTTGGTCGATCATATCAAATCACTGTGTGATTTAAGGGTGCAATCATGTCTTTGTATCTTTATCTTCCGCTGTTAAAATTGGAGTTTAACCAGCAGCACTTCTCTCTAGGTTTTATAAAGTAGATTTAAGAAAAAAAAAAAAATTTTCACGGGAAAGGAAATGTTGGTTAATAGAAATTGATTGTAGTAAAGTGCCTCATATAATATATGATGTTAATGCTTTTTAATGAATATACCTTTAAATAGATTTGTATGTGTGTTGTGCCGGGCGCACAGATAAAATGTTATCATCATGCACCATCGACTTTATCCTAGGACACATAACCTTGTGTATGACACTCAAATCCAGGTGGCATATACTTTATTTGTAGATTAAGATGCTGAGTGTAACAGAAAACCCACGTACTAAACACACTGTAGTGATAATACAAATGTTCAGGTTTTTCATTTAATTGAGAATCGTGGAGAAATTACAATCAAATTGCAAATGTTAGACTAGAATAGCTGAGCTGAGGGGGATTTTTTTTTGGTCTAAAATATTCAATTTCCTTGACAGTTCAATTTCTTTTTCATTTAATTGAGAATTGTGGAGAAATGACTATCAAATTGCAAATGTGAGGCTAAAATAGCTGAGCGTGGGGGATTTTTTTTTTTCTAAAATATTAAATTTCCAGTTCTCTTTATAGTGAATAAAAATTCACAATTTTCAGTCAAAAAAACTGAACTGGATAAAGGCCCCCACTCAGCCATTTATCCTCTTTAGCTGTTTTGGTGTAAAATTTGCAGTTCATTGGGATTTAGTGCAGATAGCCTTTCATGTCCTACTGACAAGCAACCTCCAGTCAGGCATCTTAAAATAGGCCAGGTCATAGTTTTTTCTGACAAGATGTGGGATCGGGAGCCCCAAACAATTATTTGATCCAGTATTTAAACAGATTAGCTAAAGTATGGATATACCAGAAGTCTTATGCTTAAGACTAAGTTATATTAGCGTTATGGTCTACAATACGTGATTTTGCTAATAAGGTACTTGGTCAAATATTTCAGCTTAAATTTCCCTCTCTTCCCACTGGATCTCAGAAATAAGTTAAGAACATCCTTTCAAAATATGGCCTGGTGCTCAATAAAGTGAGTCAAAGGGAGGACATCCATTTTATGACACATGAGACATTCCCTACAAAGATTGCTGGATCATGATTACCTGAAAATGTTGCTTAGCACTCCACATGGTAATTTGTTGACTTCAACG